TTGCCCGACTGTTGATCGAATATTGCCCGACTGCCCAAAAAACTGGGGGGGCTGCCGCCTCCCCCGCCCCCCCCCGCCCGGTACGCCTATGCTGAACACGAATGAAACACGAGTGATACGTGATAAGATCATATCTACAATATATACTTGCAAGTTGAAAGATGACGTACTAAACTACCAAAAGTTCGTTTTGTCGAACATACGAACCGCAGGAACGCGGAATGCATAAACATGTTGTATAGTTTATTTCCATAATCGTAGAGATGCAATATAGGCATTTATTTTCATGTTGTTTTATTTTACTCTTGAGATCGAAGTATTTTCTGTCTTTTGAAAACAAGAACTGCAGTTATACTATTCTCGCTCCCTTCATGTCTTAGACTATGTGCACACGGTAACGTTTTCGAGCGTTTTCATTTGTGTTTTCACGCCAAAACGGATGCAAACACTATCAATTTGCAACAGAAGCTGTAGTTTATTTTATATATTTGAAATATATTCCTTTAATTGGACCGTGTGAATAGGGCGTCAAAACGATTTAAGGAAAAATGTTTTGAAACTCTAGAAAACGACGCCAGTGTGCACATAACCTTAGTGCCAGAACACTTGTTATATTAATATTAAGACACGTTGTTGGAAACGTTTTTTTGTTTTGGGGAGAAATATGTTTGGGGGAGAAATATGCGTAGTTAGTTGTGATATTTCCAGTTTCTCTGCGCACCCTAAAGTCGTTGCAACGTCCTAAAAGCCTGCACGGAATGGAGAGGTGGTGACCGAACCGGGTTTGGGACGGCAACAGCGCCTACCAACATTTATTGACAAAAATGCCTATGAATTATCAAATTCACAAGAAACCCGTTTTGAATCGTCCTTGTGTGCAGTCGACACTCAAGAAATTGCTGCCAGCCATGCTCAACAGCACAATCTCCGCTAGAATCAATTTTATTTTGTTTGTAATGTGAGTATTGGCCTATTAATAAGTCCTATTAGTGTTTTTAGTCGTTTAATTAAGACTTGCATGTATTTCACTCGTGTGCCATTCGTGTCCATCCGTTTTCATTCGTGTTCCATTCGTATTCAATCGTGTTCACTCGTGTTCATTCGAGTTCATTTGTGTTCACTCGTGTTGTGATTCGTGTGGAGTTTTAAATTAGATCAGGTCTTTTTTATATGCTCAAATTGAAACGGAGCCTTTGTGCTCCCAATGATTATATTGCTCACACTGATTAATATATAGCTTCAAAACTACAGTACATTTTGTAAATAACATGAAATATATTCAAAATATCAATTATTATCAAACAATATTCTCATTTGAAATTTAATACGACGAAATAGCATTCTACTTCGATAATTTCAATCATTGTCGAGATTATTTTCAATCTGTTATAGTAATTCACTATTTCCACGGGTTATTATACCCTCAAAAAGCCACAATATAGCTAAATTAAATGTAGAGTTATAAAGCACGCATTTCATATAACATAAAGAATCACTTGTTTATTACTCGGGTATGTGATCATAACTAACTAACATACATGTGCATGCTGGTTGATTGACATATGATAATTGATATATTAATAGATCAAGTTACTACATCCCTCCCCTTTCAGTTAGATTTCCTAATATCTTCAGTGCTTCATTAATTAATAATCAACTAATAATTTTAGATTCTTAATGTTCTCCTAATAATTGTCTTCATTGGTAGTCTGATTAGGTTTATAGTTCTAAAGTGTTCTCTCATCGTTTATTATTAGTCTTTCGCAATTAGTTTGTTTTTCAAGCGTTCTGAACTTCTTGGTTGCTGCTCAGGTTGTACAGGTTGTGATTCAGGCTCTGGTTGTTGTTGCTTCTCAGTGCTATCGTTGGGTTCTGCGATGTTGGTTGGTGTAGCTGTTGGCTGTTCTGTCTCGGTTGTATCTGGTATGCTAACGGATGGTATGTTTTCATTTCGTGGTAGGATTTGTTCGTTAGGTTTCGTTGTCCGTGGATGTTTGAATTAGCTTGCATCTCGGCAGATCTTCCGTTCGTCTTTGATTCTTTTTGCGTTGATCTGTGATCCTTTAATCTCTGTGACAACATAGACGTATTGTTCGGACGGTGTTTTCCCTTGCGTTTGTTTTCACGTTTGGCCAGAACAGCATCACCTGGTTTCAGTTTGTGTGTCTTGGTCTTGTGTCTTTTGCCATGGTACTCTTTACACTTGCTCTTGTAATTGGAATCATTTTCTCGCACTTTCTTATCGTCTTGATGCGTTCCTGTTGGAAAGTGGTCCAGCTTCGTCCTTACCTCACTATTCATGAGTAGCTGGCATGGTGGTACTTGCGTTGCTTGGTGTGGAGTACTTCGGTATGCTTGCAACATATCGTAGATGGCTTCGTCTGGGTTGGTGCGGTCGTGTCGTGCTATAGTCCTAATTTTGTTCACTAACTTGTTGAATCCTTCCAATTGACCTTGTGCTTTCGGGTGACGTGGTGTGATACGTTTATGCCGGAATCCTGATTCTCGTGCGAAGTCGTTGAATGCTTGCGAGTTAAACGGTGGTCCGTTGTCGCTCTGAAGGTTTTGAGGAACCACCGTGTATCGCGAAGATTTTCTTCAGCTTCTTTCTCGTCGCTTCAAATGACGTCGTGGCCGTAAATTCTACCTCTGAGTACCTGGAATATTGATCTGTTACCACAAGTGCATATCTACCGTTCGGAAATGGTCCACAGAAGTCTACTTCCACAGTTGTCCAGGGTCTGCTTGGGAGCTTTGTCTTCTTTGCTGGTTCTGTGTGCTTCGTTTCAGTGGAGATTTGGCATTCAAAGCATCGCTTTACCGTGTCTGCGATCTCCAAGTTCATTCCTGGCCACCAATACTTATGTCGAATCATTTCTTTTGTCTTAGATAGTCCTAAGTGTCCTTGCTTGTGCGCGATTCGTACGATTTTGGCTCTTAGATTTTCTGGAGGCACGATCTTGTTCAGTCGGAGGATGACGTTTTCTGATTCGTACAGTTCTGCTTGTACGTCAATGTACGGCTTTAGAATTGGCTCTTTCTTGTCCCAAACACCCGTTTGCATGGCATGCATAAGATGCTGTAGCTCTGCGTCTTGTTCGGTTTCAGTTGCGATTTTCTCTAGCACGACTGCGTGGTCAGCTTGAGTCACTGCTCTCACGTGTTTCTCGACTCCAGTCCTTTCGCTATCTGACAGGGCGTATCTGGACATGTAATCGGTGACGTTTTCTTTCCCAGGAATATGGATCATCGTGAAGTCCAAATTCTGCATCTTCATGATTAGTGTTTCAATTCTAGATGGCAACTTGGCTTGAGGGTTGTTGAAGAGTGGTAGTAGGGGTTCATGGTCAGTTGCGAGTTGGAAATGCTTGCCCCCTAGTAGGTACATCTGTAGGCGTGATGTCGTGAATTCAGCTGCTAAGGTTTCTCGTTCTATCTGGGAATATCTTCTTTCTGTGTCGGTGAGTGTTCGACTTACGTAGTGTACGGGTTGGTAACCATGCTGAGTTTTCTGGAAAAGTGCTCCTCCCAGTCCCGTTGGGCTACCATCACAAATGACGAGTGTGTCTCGCTCTGGGTAGTACGGTATCAGTACTGGCGCAGACGTGATTGCCTTCTTGAGGTCGTAAAATGCAGTTTGCTGTTCGTTTGTCCATTCGAATTTCGCGTTGTTTCTTGTCAATCGCCGTAGAGGCTCGCAACGGCTTGAGAAGTTGTTGATATATCAGGATAGGTATGCTAGCATTTTCAAGAATGATACTAGCTCCTCGCGTGTCTTTGGTGGTGTGCACTCTTGCCACAGCTCGGATCTTGTCCGGGCTTGGCTTTAATCCTTCCGTGGTGAACATATGTCCGTGAAAGGTCATGCTCGTTTTCCCGAATTCACATTTCTCTTTCCGTAGTGTAAGATTATGATCTTCGATTCGCTGTAGTACTGCTTGAAGGTTTTTGTTGTGGTCCTTCCAGTCAAGTCCGCCGATCATGATATCGTCGCGGTTGTTCAACACTCTCGGGACACCGGATATGATTTTTGCAATCTCTGCGTCGAAGAGGTCTTGGCTGTTGAGTCCACCAAAGGCAAGTCTCTTATATCGGTAATTGCCCCACGGTACGTGTAGAGAATGTCATGATTCGCCGGAATTGTTCATCGAGGGAAAATTGGTGGTAACCGTGGTTGAGATCTAATTTACTGAAAACTTTGCAACCCTTGAACTCTCGAATGAAATCTTCGGTTATTGGGGCTTGCACTTGGCGAGTGCGCATCATTGATTTATTGGCCAATCGTAGGTCCAGACAGGCACGAATATCTTTCGGGTTTTTTGGTTTGGGTTGTACGACTAATGGTAAGCACCACGTAATGGCTTCGTGTTCTGGTACCGGCTCGATTATGTCGTTCTCTTCGAATTCTGCTAGTCGTTGCTTCAACGGTTCGGTCAACTGGTATGGAACTCGTCGAGGTTTCTGTGCAATGGGTGTTGCGTCGTCTTTCATTGGTACAGTTATCTGTATTTGTTCTCCGTTTCGCATTGCTTTTCCGATGCCCGTGAATCTCTGTTGGTATCTGTTCACGATTTTATCAAGTTCAGTTTTGTTCTGATCACGTGGTTGATCCGATGCCTGCTGTTTATTAACTGCTTTGACCGTTTTATTTGGGCTTTTAAGACTTCCTGTCACGTCGATCAGCAACATTCCGAGCGCTTCGAGTGTTTGTCTACCGATTAATGGCGGTGAGTCGATTTTCCCTTTGATAATGAGCATAGTTGTAGAAACAGTTCGTGTTGCATTTGACATTTCAACATTTACTTCTCCGATTACCGGTAATTCCTCCTTAAGAGCTTTAAGTTTGATCTTCGTATTTTTAATCTTCAGTTCCGGTGCTTGTTCTCGAAGGTGCGCGAATTGGCTTTCGTCCATAATGTTCGTATCAGATCCACTGTCCGGTTCAGCTACGATATTTATCCCGTTTATTTGGATTGTGCATGTTTTCCATTTGTCAGCGTTATCTTGGCTTGTGTGGTGTGTTTTGAGGTGATTCATGAAACATTCGTCGTCACTTGAGCTGTCGTCACTACAGTTATTGCCAACGTGTCTTGTGCGTCTGGTTTGGCTCGTCTCGCACTTGTCATCACCGCGATAATCTCGTTGATCTCGAATCTGAACGATATTTATTACTGCCAAGGCGCTGTTTCTGGTTACGATTGTCTATATTGTGTTTAGTCTTTCCAAAACAAACTCGCGCGTAGTCAGGGACCGCGGAGACGGGGGGGGCTGGGGGGGCTTTAGCCCCC